CTAATAAAATGTAAGAGCGCGCATGACTGATAAAGCACGGAGTTGTAAAATTAGGCCCCAAAACAAGTGCACAACTATTTGCACGTGGAGAGCAGCAGCTCCTTTTCTATCTACGGTGTGTCGTTTGCTTCACCCACTTCTTCTTAAGTGCCCTAGTCCGTTGACACACGCCGAGGGTTAAGCGGCTTTTGACCTATTGAGCTCGACCAATTGAAACGTCGGGCCACTAAATGTTTAGGACTTGGTTTGTGAAAGTCTCTATTTCTCAACTTTTTGACCCAACCAGACGCAGTCAAACGTGTTTACGTTTAAAACATCCATTCCCATATATTTCTTTTCACAGTAATTGGCGTTTTGAATGGCATTATTTAGAAGAATATCATTTATTATCTCTATTTCTGCCCATTTTGTGTATTTGCCCTCAAATCTATAACGTAAGCATACAGTTCTTTTTGGCATTTCCCGTGAGCCGGTGTTTCACACTGCCAAAGAGCGAACAAATAAGCCCGTTCCGCAGACTCAACGGATGGCTATTTTCGAGTATCATCCTCCCGTGTCGGTCTCAAGCGGTTATGTGAACTCCATACAGTCAAATTGATTGATGACAACAGCAAATATTTATTTACTACCTGAAGACTTGACAACATAGATAAAGGGACGATCACCCTAAAGACATACTTCATAGGTTAATGCACCCACACATTATCCCCTGAAATATTCTCTGGAAATCTTTTCCGGCATTTTTATCCTCGAGAGGCACTTGCATAAGTTATTTGAAAATAACTTGGCGATTTCTTTTTTTCGTTTTGAAGCTGATTTAAACGACACGTGTTCCTGACGAGTATTCAACTTCTCAAACATATAGAAGTCTGTTGTATCTTTTATTTGATGAACAACGATTTTATGTGTCTGTGGGCTGGATGAAAACAAAGCACACAGTGGCGCGTGGCGGAACTATGACGATTGCGCACGCAGACCGTCAGAAAGTGACCAATTAAGCAGCTGTAATGTCGAGTAGACTATGAAATACTACTTTGTTCTATTTAACAACAAATCACCAATTAGCAAAGGTGATGCTTATTTACAAAGTGAATTGACCGGCATCTTGTCAAGAGCAAACATCAAACGCCAAGCTCTGTCGAAAATATGCACTTCAATGCGCTCTATTTTAGGCCAGATCCGAACTGAATACGAAGGTCACTCTTTTTTGCATAATTATTCGCCTGCGTCATGGTGCTGAATGAAAACAATATTAGTCAGGAAAGCAAGCGTTGTGCTTACCGCTCAGTGTTCTATAAAAGGTAGACTGAATGGGTTTGTGCTAAAGCTTTCCTGACATTTTGAAAATATTATTGCTTTTAGCTTAGTTGTATCGTCACCATATATATTGTGAAACGTATTTTATAATCTAGATTTCAGGATATATATGGCGAGAACGTGCCCATTTCATGATTGTATGCACTGTAATTATTTTTTTAAGTACAAGAGCACAGTAGGGCTCGACCTTTAATATTGCGACGCAATGGTCTACTAATCATGTGCATTTTAGGCGACACACCAGACTGATAACCTTTAGATTCAGGTAAAATATATGCGACTGAGGTAAAAAGAATTAGATGTTCGGTCATATATGTTAATCTAGCTTTTGATTTACTGTTTCATCCAAATGAAACAACGCAATTTATTTTTGGTACCTGAAAATAAAAGTGGATTCAACAAATGAAAAAAAGAAGGTAAATAGTTACTCGTTTCACTCCTGAAAAGTGCCTATAGCCAAAGAAACGCGGAAAACATATTCACAGTTTAGCGGTTCGAACCGGTTATTTTTCGGTCCCCGGAACTGAACCGGAGCTGAACCGAAATCCGTGAACCCGAACCGGAACCGAACCGATAAAAATTTCGGTTCGACACTCTGGAGGTGAGCTCCCCGGGTGTTGCTTCTTTGCATTACATCGGTGCTCAGTAAGAGGCGCACTTAACGGGGTAACCCGCCACAATGAACAATATCGTAATTGCGTGCTTGAAAAAACAAGCATACATTTAAAGCGGGATGGTGCACCCGTACCGACTGTATTTGAATATGAATGGAAACTTTGTAAATGTGTATATCTACATTGTAGTAAAAGTTTCAAAATTAAACTTTTATGGAAGTGTATACTATATTAGGCAAAGATGCTTTCACAACCTGCGTTCATCATGCGCGATTTATTCTTTTTTAACTCGGGATTAGAGAAAGAATATTTTATATAGCAACATTTGTAAATTATCTCAATTGGTATAGTTGGCCGTCTCTATAGGATTCATTTTATGTCAAATCGGTCATTTACTTGTCATCCCAAGACATGAGATCTTCTGAGGTCACAGTTCATAAATATAGATATATCAAACTTGGCTTATAAATGAACAAGTGGAATAACCAGTTTTAGCTGGGTTTTCGTCTAAGCATTATGCAATAGTAGTGAATGGCGTGGAAAAACTATTCGATATTCGAATCGAAAATAATCGGCCAAAACCACTATTCGCTTCGAATTCGCTTCGAACTCAAAATCCACTATTCGCACAAGACTAAACATTCTCTTAACCTGTAATAACTGTCTACAGGAACGTTAAAAAAGTAAAAAAAAGTAGGTTTTTCTCGTCCTTCCCAGCCTTCCTAGTGCTTGCCCTTCCTCCCCTCGCCTGGCGTTGCGTTTGCCTGCATTGCACGAAACGATTTATGGACGTAGTAATGTATACGTGTGGCGTGGAGGTGTTTTGGCGTGGAGGTGTCGGAGTTTTAGTAGATCGTTCCGATATAAAGATACCCGATACTCTGCCGATGCCTTTGCGCATGCATAATCTCGTCATCGGGTAACGTTATCGGAGGTGTCGGAAAAAAAAAATGGTTTGCTCTGTATGTTTATACAGCCTTGATGGAGATACGCCACGACGGGTAATCGGTCTCTTAGCTCCCTTTAAATGGAAAGAAAAACCGCACATAAACGGAGTTTTAATTTATTTTACAGGGTGTCATAAAAAAAATCGCATAAATAAACCAAAGAACAGAGTGCCACGGAATTTTTTACGAAGATGCCTTTAGGTTGTGCATTTATCATACTAAAATTTTGTGAGTGTAGGTTGTTGGGAAAAAGTTCAAAAAAATTAAAGCCTGTTTTTTTTTTTTTCTATGCGCGGGAGAAAAACAAAAACCAAACCGTCGGGTTGACGCAGCTATTCGTCTATGGTACCGCACATGTTGGGATCTTCTGAATCTGCTTTAACGTGTTCATCTTGAGGAATGTTTCAAGTTTTTGTATCATGTAGTGCCATGTGTCAGTAGCTGCGTCAACCCTACATTTTGCTTCCATTTTCCTACCGCGCATAAGAACAAGTTTTTTTTCTTAGACAATTTACACTTACAGATTTTGAGTGTGAACAGTGAACCAAAACACTTTTATAGAAAGTTCTATGGTACCCTGGTCCCTCGCTTACTTATACGATTCTTTTACGCCTAAAATGTCTCGAAAACAACCTGCAGGTAAGAGATGCAAAAAAAAAAAAAAAATCATAAACGTCTCAAGGATTGTGTTGAATCGAAATTTGATAAAATCAATGTTCTAGATATAAAACTGTGGTTGGGTGTAGTTGGTTTATATCATTTAAAATATTAAAAGCGCGAACTGATGCACGGACGAAACAAGAAACACGCACGACAAGGACAGGCGCCTGACCTTGCCGTACAGTGCGGCTTTCTCCGGGGAGCGCTAGACTGGTGGCATTCGCGGAAACTAAGCCAGTCACGTGGCGCAACGTGGAACGGCCCGCTCGAGGGGTGATTACCACTGTACCTGTTTCTTGTTTCATCCGTGTTTCAGTTCGCGCCTTCAACCTTTTAAACGATAAGGCTCTAGAGATTCTGCATTGAAAACCCATGTTCGCCTTCTATTAACTCACGAGAGACCATGGCAGACTTTCAAGTGATAGGCCCATGTCAGCTAGCGCTCGTAATGTTCGCACGTTCTCTGCCAAAACACCTCGAACAGGTGATTTTAAAATGGGATTGACTTCGAAATGCCATAGGTCTGCGATCTCCTAATAATTCTCAGCCTGGTGGACCCAGCCTAATGAACTCAGCTAATAAACAAAATATGTGTTCCTTTTTTTTTTTGGGGGGGGGGGGGGGTAAATTATAAATGGTTGATTGCAGCTGTACAGCCTTATCGCCAAGTTTTGAGGTGTACACAGTGCAACATTTCCAGCGTTCTCTAGATTCATCACGAATCCGACGAAAGGCAAACGCAGGTATGAAACCCACCAGGATGGAAAATTAACTGCATGTGTTTAACTTTCCACCGCAAAAATAAACTACGCGCTAGCGGTTGGAACCACATGCCGAAGTTCCTGAACTCGCCGTCATCTGATATTAAAGTTAAAACCCTTTTTTTTTTTTACATTTTCAATTATGATAATTCGGGCACGTTCCCGGTAGCAGACGCCTCACACCCATATATGTGCGAACTCTTTTAGCCGCCATTTCCCGTGAAAAATGTGCGAAAATTGCTTATAACCTTTGGATTGTATAACGACAAGTCCTGAAACAGTGCCGTCTGCTCCTCAAAGGAGAACGCGCGTTCCGCCACGCCTGTATTATGTTTACAGTAAGGAAACCACCGGGGGGTTCACTTCTCTCTCCAACACACGATATGTTTACAATAAGTTCCATGGTCGGAGGGTGCTCGTGCTTTAACAGTATTAAGGCAACAAGCGGCTTGATAAAACGAAGGCAAACGCAGAAGAGAACGCAGCATACGATGCGTGTAAAAGACATCCGAAGAGCATACAACAGCAGAAGACAGCAGCGGAGGAGGAGCAGCTGAGGTGCACCGCCATCTCTCGAGAGGAGTGCACAGCAGGGTGCGACCAAAGCCGGCTCGCGGGTGAAGTGGTCTTCAGTAAAATAGAATTGGTCGTGGTCGGAACGATCTGTTCAATGCTCGGCACTTAGCACTTGGTCGAGTCGGTCATGTCGCTTCCAGGATGGACTTCTGTAAAGGGAATGCCCCATGACCGCAGGTTCCTTGCCAGTCATCGGAGTTCAGGCTGAAGGTCATGGTGCCGGAGAAGTTCTCAGCCAGAATCCATCTTGCCTGAAGTTGAGAAGGATGGCGGAATTTCGGTTTAGAAGGTGAGCACGTAGGTAGGATAGACCCTTTTTCAAAAGTCTATCGAGACGGACACGACGACAAATCTTGCGTGTCCGTCCCTCTGTTTACTATTTCAGTAACATGGCATTTTGGTACGTATAAGACATATTTATTGGGCTCTGGTTTCTGCCATGGGCCTCATAGGAAAATTAATAACGTTAGGTATAATGAGGTTCTTCATTTTGAGTAATTACGTTTTTAAATTAGTAGGTGTAAAGCTATGGTTTCTATTAAAAACTTTCTGGGTATTATCAAAAACTACTAAATCGACGCTTTTCACAAATATATAAGACACATGCGGCATCCTACGGCGTTAAACAAAATATTTGGAGGCGCTTTTAAGTTTCGGTTTTCTATCAAAACGCATCTCCGCGCGAGTGATTCTGCTCCTGGTGGCCAAAGCTCGGGAAGCATTCTAATGAGAAACTTTTACAAAATAACCAGATAGCGATTGAAAAAACACGCTCCAGTGGCATATGGTAAAATGCACTGTATACCATCGAGATTCCGAGGATCTGCAAGGCGAAACACGATCTGCAAGATTGCATTAAAAAAAAAAAAGTTAAAATGTCAGTTTGTCTGCTAAGACTAGCAGACACATGCTAACCTTAATGGCGACGCTTTCTTGGTCGTCATAGCTGATCCACGTCCGATCATTGGTGGCGAAAGGAACCATGGATTCATCGTCGAAGTGTCTCGTACCGCCACCTCTCAGGAACTCGCAGACCTGAAACGTTTGCTCGTGTTTTCGTGGGCTTGTACAGACCAGTCCACAAACGGGCTTCTGGTCGGTGCCATCTTCACCGTTCGTGCGTGTGGCGCGTGCTTTGCTAGCATTTCGAAGCGACGAACATCCGTAGAGGTTTTTTTTGGTCGACTCGTGGAGCATTCGAAAGGGGCGTATTTTCCCGCCGGTGATAAAGTTCCGAAGGGAGAGACGATCTTTTAGAAAAAGAAACCGCTACCGTTCGACGGACATAATCGCTATCGGAAAGAGAAGAAACTGCTCCTCAACGGTAAGTGTCACCACTGAAAAAGAAAGCCGAATTGTTCTCTAAACGGGCCCCCTCACATTTAGAAACTGGTTTTTATTTATTTATTTATTGCAATATCCTCAAGGCCCTGACGGGCATTACGAAGGGGGTGGGCGCATAATCACACAAGAAAACAATACAGAAGCAAAAGCCAAACGCAATACAAACAAGCAATACAAAAATAAAATCACGAGACATTTTTAAAATATAATTATAGTACTAGACTTTTTAAACAAATCAAGTGACGGTATTGATGTTAAAACTGAAGGTAAGTGGTTCCACGCTGTAGATGTTCTGGAAATGAAGGAATCGGGATAGGCAGAGGTATGGCACTTAGGGACTCCAACTTTGAACGGATAATCGATTCGTGAAGAAATGCAGGATGAGTTCAACAGTAGCCCTTCTCTTAGGTTAGGAAGAGAGTGATAGATTTTGTAAAAGATGCATAGTCTAGAACATTTACGGGGCAACAAAAGAGGAGATAAAGAGAGGCTGGATTTTATGAATGTTACACTAGCTGTACAATGATAATTGCTAAGAATGAAGCGAACGCTGCGATTTTGAACTGACTCGGGGTTAGAAATGAGTGTTGATTGACAAGGATCCCAAATAGCAGCTGCATATTCTAGTTTAGAGCGGACGGGAGATTTATATAGTAGTAACTTAAGTGATACGGGAGCTAAAGCAAAGTTACGTTTTAGGTATCCTAACATGAAAGGCTTTAACAACTATGTGATTGGTGTGGATTTGCCAGGACAAGTCATAAGTGATGTGTAAACCAAGGTATTTTTAGGATTGCAAGAAACCGTTTTTGAGAAAGTAGGTGGCTGGCAGTGTGTTACGACAAGAAACTCTCATTAATTTACATTTATCTATGTTAAAGGTCATGTGCCACTCTGCCATTCTGAACCAGAATTTAGATTATTTAGAAGAATAAATGTGTCAGTCATTAATTTCGCGATAAATTACACAGTTGTTGGCGAATTGGCTTAGAGATGATGAAACACACAAGGGTAAGTCGTTTATGTAAATGAGAAATAGTGTCCTAGGACGAAACCCTGAGGCACACAGGATGTAACATAATATAAAGGGGAATTAGAATTATTTACAGATACAAATTGGGAGCGGTTTGTTAAAAAAAAGACTTATTCTATGTTAGCACGTTAGGTCCGAGATGGAGCTTACTTAATTTTAAGAGTAGTTAGTTGTGGGAAACTTTGTCAAATGCTTTGCAAAAATCTAAAAACATACAGTCAACCTGGGATCTATGGTCAAGAATGGAGAATAAATTATTAGTAAAGACGAGAAGTTGAGTTTCACAGGAAAGAGATTTGCCAAAGTCATGTTGTGAAGAAGAGAATAATGAGTTAGAATCGAGAAATGTGACGAGGTGTGACAAAATAATGTGCTCTAAGATTTTGCAAGGAGTGCTAATTAGGGTGATGGGTCTGTAATTACTAGGACAGTGTTTATCGCCTAATTTATGTTGAGGAACCACTTTACCAATTTTCCAGTCATCAGGGAGATTACCGCTAAGAAGTGATTGCTCGAAAATCATAGAAAGAAACATCGCACTGTATACTTTAGTACCTTTAAGAAACTTAGAAATAATATCAATACCACATGATGAAGACACTTTTAGAGTTTCTATTAAAATCAAAACTAAAAATAACTGGATCCATAGGAAAAAAAAATATAATCAGGATAAAAACCTAACACGGATCTATATCAGCAGAGAATGATTTGACAAACGCATCATTAGATATGTCTCTATCTAGCGGAGCGCTAGATAGTGAAATTACATGTTTTTGGCTACCATTTATAATGCTCCAAAATATCTGTTTAGCGTCATTGATTGCCTTTTTGTAGAAAGTGGTAGCAATCTTATAAGCTTTCCATCGCTCAGCCGTGTCAACACACTTTGCAATGCGGAAAAGACTTTTTTTTTATTTCTTTTTTTTTTTTTATTATTCGAAAGCTTGTTTAAAGCATAGTTGAACCATGGTGATGCCGGGTTAGAAGAGATAGATTTCCACGGGACGAGAGAAGAAATAAGAGAATTGACTTTTTCCTTGAACGTTGACCAGTTAACTTCAACTGTGCATTTAAAAAACTCGCAAAGGAGAAAAAAAGGACTCCAACTCTCTATTTATTGCGTTAAGATCGGCTTGATCGTAGTCAAGGAAAACTTTATACTCTTTTTTTTCAGCGATACACAGGTGCTTAGGTGAATATGAAACAAACAGTGAAGAAAGAATGAGGTCCAGCATGTTCTCAGAAGTTACCGTGTTTCGCGTTGGTTTAGTAACAAGCTGCGCAAAAGAAAAATCTAAACACAGATTTAAAAACTCGGAACATGCAGATATATTGGAAGATATAGTAGGATATGGGCCATACCAAATAATGCCGGGGAGATTGCGTAGTACGTGGCTTTATTTTATCACGAATTAAGCTGGCACTACGGCCCCTGGTTTGAAAATCTGCGGTTCCGGCCCTGACGCGAGTTATACAAGCGTTGGGTTCATCGAGGCTGAGCTCTGAGGCTCCAAAATAAACGCCTTCATCAGCAAACCGCCCCAAGGACGGTTTGATGATGAATGCGGGTATTTTTTTTTTTTTTTCAGGAGATTAAAATAGCCTCGAGAGGAATTTCAAAGTCGCGTTAATGGCTTCGTGGGGACAAGGAATTGAAGGTTCCATTCAAATGGATGCTGTAGAAGTCTGTCCTCGCTTCGGTTATACTCAACTCCAATTTTAATCGCAGAAAGAGGATGGAGGGGCTTCAAATGTAAGATCGCGTTCGTGTACTTTATGAACGGCATGTGAAGTCATTTCTGGGGAAGGACGTGCTGAACGAGAATTAGAGAAAATGAAAGCCAAGGCTTACGTCTGCTGAGCGGAGGCATCCATTTTGCCGAAGTTCATTTTAGCGAACGCCGCTTTAAAGACCCCCGTTTATAGAATTCATTTATATAGAGAAATCAGAAAATGGCGATTAGCCTGCTTTTAGCGAATGTGTTTTTCTAGGAACACAGTCTGGGATTGGACGACGCAAAACTTCTTGCGTCTCACCTGGTTTGCGGGGGGAAAGAGAGAGGATGGAGAGGGAGAGGAGGCTTGGGTAAACACGCCTGAGTGAATCACGCGCTATCCTCTAGCGGCTTCAAGGTTTCCTTACGCCGACCGAAAGGATTCGCTAAACAGCGTCCCCTTTTCGATAGACGGCATTTCCTTAAACTGAGGCTCCACAACTGATGATTGTTGGGCGAGTTGGTATTGTACGTTAGAAAACATGATTGCGCTTTAAGACAAGGACAGAGAAAGAACTCATCGATCCCGCTTTTTTCTTAAGCGAGCTTCGATAAAACGTGTTTCGATGAAGTGGCGTTCAATAAACCGTATACGGTTGGTTGATCGAAACTCGTTTTAGAGAACGGGCACGTTTAAAGAACGGGTAGAATGGAATCGGCCTCTGCTGAGTGAAATCGGCTGAAACGCTAGATATCTTCTTACCACGGAGTCGGTCGCGGGAGCCCAAAATCGCTCTTGCGGCTATTTCAATCGCTGAGAGTATAGCCATTTTCTATACTCACAAAGCCTGGCAGTTTGGCGACGGAGCCATTGAGAGCCCGGTCGCAGATTTGGAGCGCAAGGATCTGGTAGCACAGCATTTCTCGGGGAACCTGGACCTCAGCGCACAGCTTTTGCAGCGGCGAGGACGCGAAACATGGTTTTCGAACCCGACGAGAAAAGAAGCGGTAGCGCGACGAACGCGACGAACACGAGCGGACATTCCATCTCTCTGAAGAAGCGTGTTTCGGCGTCTCGCCGCAGCGGGGCGCCCGTCACCTGGCTCTCCTCTAATCCTTTGTCTGCCGCTCTACCTTTTTCAATTTCAGCGGCCGCTTCTCGTGGCGATCTGCCAGGCATTGTCAGTATAGAGGAGGCCATGCCAAGAGATACCCGCATTCTCCGGCAAACTGGCCCAGAAGCGCTTGCTCCTACTGAGTATGGTGCGCAAGCTTACCTTGGGATAAGAGACGAAACCGTCGCCCTCTTTGCTTTGACCAACTGCCACGGATCCCACGCCGGCAGACTGGGCGTTCAGTAGAGCCCAAGACAGCCCGTAGGTAGGAATCCCCACCATGATTTTGGACTTAGGCATACCCATCGAAGTCCACAGCTCGGTGCTCGACTGCTGCAACGGGCAGCAAGAAAAGAGGTAGTGAAGAGAATCGGCAAATATTGGGGGACGCGGTTCACGTTTAGGGAGGGTTACATAGGAACGTACACACATCACGGTACTCTTCTTCTCGTCGGTGGGAAAAACCACCGAAGCTGGCATCTCACACTCCCTCACGCCATTCTATTAACGCCTGAAATTTACAAACTGTAAAATGACGCCATTTTGTGCTACGTTGTCAAGGCTGGCGTAACTTGCATAGTGCTGCAAACTCTGCCAAAGCTCATATAGCGTTGCGTGGTTCAGTGCTCATTACCACACATGCTGCGATATGATAAGGTCGCTATGTAAAACAACGATTAACCAGTAGGCTGCGAGCCTCACCAAGCAGAGTCTTCTCGCAATCCTTGTGGCTTTACACGAGAATACTTTTGCAGATTGACGTAACACCAATTTCAAGTTGTTACATACCATGTTGAGGGTGGCGAAGTAGCCCAGCTCGTCAGAGCGACTGAAGAGCGGGCTGTTGTGACCGGTCAGTGGGGTATACCACTTGAAAATATGGAGGTCATACGTCATGAGATTCACAAAGTCCACGTTCCTGGGCGAAGAAAAAGAAACAAAAACACACCGTCAGCGCGAACAAGCGAGCGCAGGTTTTAACTGCTGGTCTCTTAAAATAAAAAAAGCAACCACAAAAAAAAAAAAAGAACTATTATGGTTGTTGGAAAGATGAGAACGGTGGGAGGAGCTTCCGTTGACTCTCCTCCAGCGCGAGCTTCCTACTTTCGACACGTCTCGTGCACCTGGAGCGCGCACGTGCAGTCAAAGCACGACGGAAGGCACAAAGCGCGTGCTGCAGGCCAGACACGCCCCGCCGTTCTTATCCTGCCAATTACAAAAAGAAAAAAAGGTGGTCATACGTATTGGCACCCGCTACCGAGTCTCAGAACACCGCGTATCTTTGCCCTAATAGTGTCGCGTTCCTTAATTTTAATGTTTCTAGTCAGAGCAGCAGATGAACGACATCAGTATCTTATATGAAGTAAAAAAATAAAATGTGTCCAAGCGTCACTTGAACGGCCTTCCTTGCTTCTGATAGTCTGCAGAAAAGCGCTGATGTGCGAAAGGCACGGATATAGCTTAGTAACTGTGTTGTGTTTGCTTGTTGAGACTGCGTGAAGTTAATCGGTCCTAGTTGGCGTCTAGTTCCTCCGCTGTATAGATGAAAAAAATAGCCAGTAGCACCTAGCCTTGGTTCTTTATTGTGCTGTTAGCGGCGAGATGTTTCGGTGGCGCCCTCTTTCGGTTACCTTTCGTGACGTCATTACCTTGTGAACAACAAGTTTGATGGTATTTGTAATGGGCATGGTGGAAGCCTGAAATCATAGCGCTTCCAAAACAACACTGCCAACACCGTCAGAATGGAAGTTCTTACATTCCTATCACTTCCGTCGATGAGACACCCTTTGCTGACGTCATAGTCAGCATTCGGCCAATTGTGGTGGGCCGACCACAGCGACGCTTTCGTTCGCTCACGTCGCCATATTCGAAGCGGGGCAGGGTTGGGGATTGAACTCAAGATCCCTGGGTTCTGCAGCGCGAACTTTCGCTCCACGGGTTCTTGGAGCTGTAAAGGCTAGAAATCCCTCTTTTTGCTCCCCGGAATGCGTATCATGTGGTAACAATGTCACGCATTTGCGCGGAGTTGCGCTTATGTAGACACCCCAGGGGAAGAGGGGGGGGGGGGGGGGGGGGCTTTTGCTGGGGCTGCACAAACAGTTCCCCACTTGGCGTGGGATATTTTCCTCGTATCTCTGTTCTCTGGGTTGCATTATGGGAAACGTCATAATGCAACGCGCGGGTCTCACTCATGACCCGCGCGTTGCATTATGGGACGTTTCAGCGTAACCGCGCGGTGCATTATGGGACGTTTCTGCGTAACTGCGTGTCGCAATATGGGACGTTTCGGCATAACCCCGCGGTGCATTATGGGAAACGTCCCATGATGCAACGCGCGGGTCTCACTTCTGACCCGCGCGTTCCCCCCGTACCCTCCCCTCCTCCTCCTCAAGAGCTCCGCTCTAATTCGGCATTACAGGGAGTTGTAAACGTCTTTATTTTTTTTTTTTTAACGCGATAGCGTTAAGGAGCTTGTGTCGCAGAAAAGCCGGCGTCGGCGTCGGCGGCGTTGTGACGGGAAAATCCTGATTGGTCGATATGGTCATGACGTCTCACAGCCACCTGACCTCGCGCAGGAATTTCAAGCAACCAAAAATGCTCACGTGTTACGACGTCACGCGTAGAATGAAAGTGATTAAAACATGACATGCAATGCGAATTAAAGATCGCCGCATGTCTCAAAATATTGCACTTTATAAAGTAATTATTTGCCTTAAAAAGATGGTGAACCGAAATTTGGATTAAAGAAAAATACAATGCAGGAGATGAAAACGGGACGATACAATCCCTACAATATTACTCTTAAGGCGATATCTCGAATGGACGGCCGTATTTTTGGGAAAAGAGGTCGAGATTGAACCAGGCCAACGAGGCGCGTGACGTAAAGATATCTCGTTTCCTCCTCTCTTCGGTTCGCTCCCTCAAGGCAGCGAGGCGGAGAAGACGCGAGGCCGTTCCTTCTCCTTTTCGGAGAAACATGACATAAACATTTCTGTCCAATGCTCCTTTCCTTGAAAAATACGATCATCCGTTCGAGACATCGCTGTATGAGTGATGTTTTGGTGTTTGTAGCATCCCGCTGCGCGCTTTTGACGCGTGTCTTGTGGAATCCAGATTTCGGCTCAGCATCCCTTTAAAAAAAAAAAAAAGTATTTTAGGCGGGGTCCAAACCCACGACCCTTTGGTTGCGAACCAGACACGCCAGTGACTAGGTCTCGTTGACACGCTTGCACGGCTTGGAAACGAGCATAAGTTTATATGTTGAGCTATCGCGTTCCACACTTAAAGGCGAAGCTTTATCGCCCACGTTTTCTGCATCTAACAGCGCTGCTGCCATAATCGCGTAGTGCGTTTCATGTACCCATCCATTTTTCTACTGTCGTCAACGCGCACTGAGCCCTGTTGTCGAGAATGCGACCGCCAAATACGTCTGATAACACTGACATCCCTCTCGGTCATTCGTGTGAAGTCTGGAGTCGAGGAGGAAGTCCTGATGGTTTCGCTGATCACTGACGTTAAGCACATCCCTCCCCCGAAAAGCATCCCCCGTGTGGATACCCCTTAACACTTTACGCTACCGACCGCGCAGAAATTGATGTCACGTGCACTCAGTTTCCCTATCAATGTACCCGTGAAAGTAGTAAAAATAAATGTTCTTCGCTCCCCAAAACGACAGTTTAATGCCTTCTAAATAGTATTAAACGATCACAACATATATACTGCATTTCATGCATTACTTAGAGATAAAGGCCGCTGCGAGTTTTTGTTCCATTTTTATTGCATTGGCCACCGATCCCCCGTACTTGCCTTGCCATTGTAGGTATGTCGTACGCAATCGCCAGAGTGCTTTGAGCGGGAACGGCCACGGACAGTAAGAACGGCCCGTATGGAGACTCCCGAAATGCCTTGAAGACCTCCTGTATACAAACACCGTCATGACGGGGGAAATCATATCTTTTTGAGACCTTGTTAACAATGGCAATTCCATCGTTATTGTTTGCTCTTCCGGGCTGAGAATTCGAAAAAGATTGCGGAGTAAGTCAACGGGCCCGTTCCTGCACACCGGATTGGCACGTTTTACAGAAAAAGGAAAAGAAAAAAAAAAAAAGAAAAAAGCGGGGGGCGCATTAGCCTATCGTCCGTTCCCACATTGGCGCTTATCGGGTAAGCAAATCTGGGAGCCGGCTACAGGCTAGCGCGTGAATCGCTAAGGCGTGTCCTGTGGGCGCCGCCATTTTGTTGCTGATATGGATAGATAGATCGTCTGATAGTCAAGCATTTCTGAGGCCGTGCGTACGCCTCAGCAGTGCTCGACTATCAGACGATCTACCCACACCAGCAGCAAGAGAGCGGCGCTCACATGTCAATCCCCCATCCCCTACGCCACTTCCTTTCTTTCTTTTTTTCGTAAACGAGGCGATGTGACGTCAATGAAAATGTGCTAATCAGAGTGCCGGTGTTGACCCGGCGACTCGCTCCACAAGCTTTTCCAAATACGCTTCCAGGGTTTCCGTTGTTTACCTCAAGAAATGACGCAAACTGCCTCCGGTCGAACACGCTTGGGAACTCCCAGTCCAAGTCCAGGCCGTCTAGCCGTGCATCCCGAAGTACCCCAACGGCGGATTCGATGAATCTGAGGGGGCGAGAAAAAGCGAAAACCCTCTGCAGATGTAGAACGACGAGTGGCGGCCGCTCTGATCGAGACTATTTTGTAGGGTGTCTTTTGCAATGCGGAAAGCAAGTCGTCTGCTTCTTGCGCAGGAGTTACGGTGGCGTCAGAACGACGCCAAGCTCCGATTAGCTTTGACTGAAGGATAGCGGGTAGACCTCAAAGCAAGCTGCCTTGAGCTCTACCCACTGTCCTTCCTTCAGAACCAATCTGAACTCGGCGTTCTGACGTCACCACAATCCCTGCAAAGGAAGCAGACGAACTTGCGCTCCGCATAGCACCTAAAGCCGGGATCACACTGCTTAAACATCATACAAAAGACAGTGTGAAAATGCGAGTCACCGCAATATCCGTGGTTCGAATGCGTCGTGCCAAGATTTCCCCTTTAACTCATTGCCGTGCGGCACTCGAAGCACGGATCTCGAGGGGACTCGGATTAGAATCTGTATGCACACTGTCTTTTGTATGATGCGTAAGCTGTGCAGGGTCTGCGGATGACGTCATTGTTATTGGATCTCCCACCCGCCCCAAGCGGCAGACGCACTGAGGCTCGATGAGAGACGCCGTACAGCAGCAGACGCGTCCGCCTTGTGGCGCGTTCACACTCGCGGATTCGCGGGCGGATCCGCGCAGGGGGGAAGTATATAGATTTTGGAGCCGGGTGGCGAAGTCGACTCGTCGCTGGCGGAAAATCTGGATACGGGTTCCGGACTCATCCCGATTTTCCGCCAGCGACCAGTCGATTTCGCCCACCCGGTTCCAAAATCCATTTTCCGCCTGCGCGGATCCGCCCGCGAATCCGAAAGGCATGAACGCGCCATTGACGTCGCCGCTTGTTATGCGGAGAGCAAGTCGTCTGCTTCTTGCGCAGGGGGTTGCGGTGACGTCAGAACGACGCCGAGCTCTGATTGGCTTTGATTGAAAGGGTAGTGGGTAGACCTCAATACTAGAGGCCTTGAGATGTAACCACTATTTTGTTTTCTTTTCGATCAGCCAATGAGCGTTCGGTGTTCTGACATCATTGCAACCCCTGTGTACGACGCAGACGAACTTGCGCTCCGCATAGCGTCGCGCTCATTGTCTGTTACTGCACAAAGTACTGGAGGCGACGGTGCGTGGATACACTTGTGATGACGTGGTGGGTGGGGGGGGGGGGGGGGGGGGGGATGGCTGGGGACGCAGACTTTTCTTTTTAGGTGATATTGGCCAAGTTGACGAAAATGAAAGCACACGGTAAAAAGCATGCCTGCGTGTTTTGTCCCTTGATCGCACGGTCTTCTTGAACTGCTGTGCGTCTGAGCCACCGCCTCCCACCGAAAGCATCAGCTTCGCTCGGGGCTCGCCGAGTCCCGTCCTCCCCAAGGCAGAGAACGCCAGGAGGCCCTGGTAGCCGCCAACCCTGGAGAGATTCAGATTCCCGGCGGGGTCGACGAGGACGAAGCCCATGATGACGTGCGTGCAGAGCCGGACATCGACGCCCAGCACGGGCAGGTTGGCCGGATCGCTCGAAGCCGTGTAGTAGCAGACGTGCGAAAACGAACCTGGCGACGCAATTGAGAATCGTGACGGTGACAAACGCCGCATAAGGTCACACTGCTCATCTACATCACAAACAAAACAAAAAAGAGCTTTTTTGCAGACATGATGAAAGGATTTTCCCAGGACACGCCTTGAGCATTTTCGTAGCAAATGTTTGCTTGGAACGTGTTTTCAGTCGGTCTTTTGTACGATGCATTCGCAGGAGACATGCACACGTTGCCCCTCAAGGTAACTAAATATTCTTACTCGTTACTCGCTGAAAAAGTTGCGAAATACATTACTCGTTACCAATTCGTTACGTTGCGTTATAATGCGTTACCAAAATGGTTACTTTCACGATCAAATACATAACTTCTTTAGTTTCACGGTTTTTGGGTGTTCTTTTCAGTAGTCGTTGCACGTTGCACTGGCAGGGTATTTACGCTAGCCGACGTTTTCAGTTGTACATGGCATAAAAGAGCCCAACTACACAGAACATAATTTGCCGCTCAAAATTCGGTTTCTTTCCGCCCGAAAAACGCCGATCGAGAACAGGCCGGTTTGAGCCGCGCTCACTCCCTTTTCCGCGGTCACTGGCTGTTTTCTAAGGCTTAAACACAACCACCAAATTTAATTGAAGTCATGGGTCATTAAAAGCACACACTCAATATTAAAAAAAAAAAAAAAAATTATGAACCCACTTTTTCAGGCTTTTAAAAAACCGCATATAGTACAGTGATTGAAAAAAAAAAAGTTCCACAGAGAACCGAAAGCATTTTGTGCGTTCGCTGCAACGTTGAAAAAACAACTCAATTGGGAAACTCCTCTGAAAAAGTGGCACCGATTCGTACTCGAGAACCGAGCTAATGTCGATCGCAACGCCGCCATTTTTCCCGCAGCAGCCACTCGCGGAACTGCACGGCTGCTTGTATTGGTTCGGGACTATAGCAGTCGATAGCATCCGCTGTGACTATTCTATTTTTGCTTAAATCGGCCATTTTGACTCCGAAACATATACGGTGGGTGGAATGGGTTTCAGCACAGTGGAAGAAACACATTTAGGTGATGACTCTGTCTTACGCGGCGGCCACATTATGTTCGGCGCACCGGACGCTTCACTCGCACGGGGATAGATGGCGCCCAAGGATGGAATCCCTCCCAAACCAACCGCTCGGGTTGTTTCTCCCAGCGGTGGTCCCGCATTCCCTCGCTCACCGCTTCTTGTTGTACCTCACCGCCGCCACGTCGCCACCAAGTCGCCAAAGCCCGTAAATCTGTGTTCTCTTCCTTTTTTAAAAACCAAAGACGACGGACTACGAAGAAAGGGACAACACACAAAACGAGACGTTTTGTGTGTTTTCCCCTTTTTCGTAGTCCGTCGTCTTCGGTTTTTCAAAAATGTGTAACATCAACCAGCTCGCCTGCCTACTCCCACTCTAATTTCTCTTCCTTCTTGTTCGGGTTAAGGCTCACCTTCGTGCACGATGGTGGCGCCTGTGATCGACACTGCACCAAAGCAAAACACGAGGCCAGCCACTGGCTGAACATCATTACCACACACCCTCACCGCGAAAAAGGCGAGCACGCTACGCCGCCGCCAACGTGGCCGCCGAGGAGGGACCTCATACCGCAGCGCCCTCCGTGGCGGCGCGGAACTAACTACTCCTGGTTCGAGGCTATATAGCTCCGAACACCATCTGGTCGCTCACTCCCCGCGGGAAGAGCGGCCAGAGCAACGAGGTAGAGGGGCTTTAGAGCGATAAACCGGGGTTCCGGTCATCAATCGAAAGTGACCCCAATAAGGGCGCTGCCATTGTACGCAAATGTGACCACTTGTCACGTGACCAAACCAAATACGTGACGTTACAAGAAAGATGGCAGCGTCCAGGTGGCGGCTGGCCCCAGCTGGGCCGGAGCATTGCCCGGAGCTTGTCGGATGCTTTGCTCGTTGTCGTTCGACTCGGCGAGTTCATTTCAGACGCGGAAGCCGTCAATGAGGTCGGTCGAAAGCGGCTTCAGAGTTCAGCGTGGTGTGCATTTCGCTGGTGATCGACGGGGATATGACCACGAAAGAGAATATCGGCCCTGCGTTGCTCGGACCTCGGATTGATTCGGATATCGCTAGGATAAAATTTAAGGCTACATTTCTGTGCTCGCGTTGACCATTGGAATCTTCGAGGTCTGCAGTGAAGCGTGTGCAATGTATCAGGATACACAGTTTAGCTACGAAAATTGCGTGGGTCGTGCTTTGCAGTGAGTAATCGTGGCGCCGTTTCGTTCAAATGATCGAAGGCTCACTTTGGTTGTGCGGCGCATCGGAGAGCTGCCTTAAAGCTGGTATTTCCTGTGCCGTGCTAAATGATACTGCGCTACTTCCCAAATTGTTCCGGTGTAGACGTGCACTTTCACGGAGCACAGGTGTGCGGCGCACCGAAGAGCCAGCTGCCTTCGAGCTGGTAGTTCCTGTGCCGTGCTTTTAGGTGATGCTGTGCTGCTTCCTAAATTATTCTGGCGTAGACGCGCACTTTCACGGAGCACAGGTGTTGCAGTTGGTATTGATTCCGCTGGTCTGTCGCACGTTTCGTGGACACAAATGTTTCATGAACACTTGTTACGCGAGTTGCAAGCTGCATGGACATTTCATCGAGCGTGTTACCTACCCAGCTCACCCGTTCACGCTGCTTTGCGGCGACAATCTGCACTGGCTCATTACGAGAAAAGCGGTTCCACATTCAATTCAGTTCGTCCAGGGCAGTAGCCAAACCCTGAAGGAGAGGATTTATTCAGACAGAATGTCACTAAAGCAATGCAGCTTCTTTATTGGTCAGGATAAACTTTCTTCTGTTAGTTTTCTTATATTGTCACAGATGCTTGTTCAAGTCCTATCTTCTATCAATATTGTTTTTGGAAAGTTCCAGGCCATGCTCGGCTGTCATCGTATGCTCTGGTGTAGATGCTGGCTACTTTACCCATAGCCCTTCACTCTGTCTGCACCCTGGCGGCTCCTCAGCCGAGTTGCCCGATAACGGGACACGGGTGGCGGACTATCCCGCGTCTTAAACCACCGGCGAGCCGTGAACCAAGTCCTATCGCCGAGCCCGGCAGAAAAACCGCAAGACGAGCGATTACCACAAAAACGAACCTCGCAGATGCACCATGAAGAACCTGAAATCTGAGCCAGTCGCTGCTACCAGGGAGCACCACCGAAATTCGGTCTCCTGCCAGAAAAACTGAAGCTGACTCAGCCAACAATGACAAACCTGTAGCAGCAAACCGCGTCCGCTCCCTCCATTGTTTGCATGCCCGTCGCACCTCGCACTCCGGCACCCTTTCGCGCAAAGTGTATGAAGATGTCAAGGACTGAATTGAACAATATGACCGTGACCGTGACCGTGCATGGCTGGACAGACAACCAGCTCCTGCAGAACCTGTACTTCTCGTGGTTGAAACTGCAAGGCAGTGGTCTGAAAACCATGAATCCTCCTTAACGTCGTGGGAAGTTTGCAAGATCGAGCTGAAGCACACGTTCGTCAGCCAACATCAACGAGAGAGAGCCGCGTACCTGATTCTGTACAGGACACGGCCCCAACGACAGCGTCGCCGCCTTCGTGGAGGATGTTTTGCGCCTGATCGAGCGCCCACGCCGACCCTGATGCTACAGAAGACAAGAAGCTAAGGATCCCATGTCCATCATGTGAGGGATAGCACCTTCGGCAGCCTTGTCCACAACCCCCCGACAACAGTCGAATGGTTCATATCACAGAGGCTTCCAACATTGAACGTGCACTGCATGCCCGAGCCTGTCACAATCAGAAACTTCCCGGCGTCTCGACACTCGAGTCGCCCAGCTGCTACTTCGACGCCAGCCTCCAAAGGCATGAGCGACATCACCCAGGACGTTCTCTGAGAGGAGATCAGGAAGCTACTTCCTGCCATCAGTTGCCCGGCTTTTATTTTGATTGCCGAGATTGTTTCGGAACAAGTTCAACAGGCATTTAACCGGAGACCTCTGCGAGCGAAGTGGCATCTGACGAACCGAGGGCGACTTACGCCCCAATGGCACGACGACCGCCACCGGCTGCCCCTTAGTATCCAATGCCAATTGAATGAGACACCCCAACGCCGAAGCATTCCCAACATCGGGTGTAGGTCGGTGCTGAACAAAATACACCGAGGAAAACGGAGGTGTTGCGAATGGCCGACCGAAAACAACTTCGCTACCACTGCATGAGGGCGACCATCTCTACCGGAGCTGCCCGTACCAATGAATTGGCCTCGAGGGTTCGTGCCATACGACCCTCGACCACGTCTCGAGGAGCGACCGCAAGACATTGACATTGACCTTCGGCGGCCTTTATCTCATGGTGCCGATATTACCCCGAAGCTCCTGATCCCGATAACCTCGATGGGAGGTAAGCACGTCAAAGCAGGTGAGCGGTAATACAATGACAGTTGATTTGGTGTCGGTTGTCGTCCAAAAACAATACCTAATAATTTGTTGACACGAATTATGCGTGTCAACTCCAAGAAGCTCACAATTTCCAACTTCGAGGGAGAAGGCCTCTGAGTGATTTGAAAAAATAGAATGGTTGGTTGTTCTCAAAAGTGGACACCAAGCATCACCCGACTTCACTTTGCCACACGAAACTTGCACAAGTTGCAGTGGTCACGGAATGCAGAAGAAATCGCCATTACAAAGAGGAAGTAAAATGGCTTGCATAGCAAATAAACATTGTAGCCAGCTATCAAGTCAACGGTACACCAAAAGGCACACCCACGTAAGCAATACATGCCCGAGCTTGCTGCAATGACGCAAAAAACTACCAGGAAAATTTGCGGATTAGAAGCCAGTCCTGCAGCTTCAGTGCATCAGATGTCAGTGGCAGCACATGACGTATGATTAAAAGACGGCATCAGTCTGTCAAAGT